GAGCAAAATAATAATAACATGTATATAGCAATAAGTAAAAAAAAATAAAATACAAAACGAAAGCTCATTCATCAGAACTTTGCCGTACAGTTTATCCGTCTATGACAACTTCCGCTGCATTGAAACCCCGGAAACGTGAAAAAGGAGACACAGCCTACTTTCGGTTCCGTGCAATACGTTATTGATTAACCATGATCATCAGGTATGTTTGTGATTTTTTAACGACATTTTGTTTACCCCAAACACGTCATACGCCCACATATTTGACTTTGAACCTGCCGCGATCAGTTTAAAAAGACAGTTTGCGTGCGTGCTCGTATTTTAGTTTGGCCTTGTTTGTTTTGTGTTTTTCCCCCGTGACTGGTGTATTGAAACTAAAATGAACAAACAAAGCCTTTGGACGTCATTAATAGGCCTACATTACACAGCAATTAATTAACTAACTATTTGCATGTGTATCTGTGGGAAAATTGCTAGTTATTATTTTGATTTAGTTATTAGCAGTTAACATTTGCATTTTGTATTACTGTATTTTGTGTCCCAGTGCATGTTTGTTTGATAGTAATTAAATCTTACAGTGCGTTCAAAGTTCTCAAGGCTTTACCAGTAGGATAAGATGGGTTAAGATCCCCGCTTGAGAACATTTATTATAAATTATAACATATTTAGAGATGAGTTTAACAGGTGCATAAGGATGATTCAACATCTAATATATTGTTACGCGAAATAAATGAAAATATTTGCTAATTTGTTTTGATGCGTATTGAACAATGACTATGAAAAATCCCAGTTAATACACTAATTATAGGAAATATACACTGCCTGAAAAAAGGTCACCATTTGGATTTTAAATCAAGGATTGAATAATTATTGCAGTGATTAATATGTTTCTGGCATGTTATACGTTTTATAAGAAGTCTTTTAACTAGGGCTGTAAAATTTAAATGTTTAATTTCATTAATTACACAGTGTGGTGGTTAATTAATCAAATTAATCCCTTATTAATTACACATCAAATTTGGCTGTAAAATTACCCACAAAAGATAATTTAAAGCCAATATTTTGTTACGGTGTTATTTTTTCCCACTTTTTACATTTTTGGGTGAACTATCTCTTTAATTATTTTTTATTAATATGGATTTTTTTTTTTTTTTCAGATCTTTTATTAATATGTAAATATAAATATTTTAATTAAATTATACTCTAAATAATAACTGACACTGCCTGTTAGGTGGCAGTAAATGTCTTAAAGGGATAGTTCACTCAAAAATGAAAATTCTGTTGTTAATTGACTGTTCGCAGGGAGCTTGATTGACAGGGGATCTGACCAATCAGAACCCGGATATTATGTGCCGTCGCTGCTATCTGGCGTCTTGCCCGACAGCTAGGCATTTCTCCATAGAAATCCATGTTAAAACGTAGGGCTGGACAATAATTAAATATCAATATGTATCGTGATATAATTTTTTTCAATAACGGTGATATGATTTTTAAACACATTTCCGATATTTCGATATACATTACCAGTGTTTCCCATACATTGATTTATTTGTGCCGTTTGACTTCGTTGAATAAACATGAGCACTGCACGTTTCAAAATCAAAACATGTCGCGGGCGTTTTATATGAATGTATCTCTGAAGGGAACCGACTGTCTTCAGAAAAGTTTCGATAGCATCGAAAATATTCTTTTCATATTCTGTATCCTGGCTGAAGCACATTTGTTTCAATCTATAAGAATAATCAGCCTACACTACCAGTCAAAAGATTTTGAACAGTAAGATTTTTCATGTTTTTTTTTTTTTTAAGAATTCTCTTCTGTTCACGAAGGCTGCATTTATTTGATCCAAAGTACAGCAAAAACAGTACAATTTTGAAATATTTTTACTATTTAAAATAATTTTAAATCTTCAGAAATCATTCTAATATGCTGATTTGCTGATTATCAGTATTTAAAGCAGTTGAGAACATTTTTTTTTCAGGATTCTTCGATGAATAGAAAGATCCAAAGATCATCATTTATCTGAAATAAAAAGCTTTTATAACATTATACACTCTACCATTCAAAAGCTTGGAGTCAGTATTATGTTTTTGTTTTGTTGGTTTTTTTGGGGGGGGGAGGTTATAGAATTTTTTTATTTATAATACTTTTATTTAGCAAGGATGCTTTAAGTTGATCAAAAGTGACGATAAAGACATTTATAATGTTACGAAAGATTTCTATTTCAGATAAATGTTGTTCTTCTGAACTTTCTATTCATCAAAAAAACATGAAAAACTACTACTCATTTGTTTTCAACATAATAAATGTTTTTTGAGCAGCAAATCAGAATATTAGAATGATTTCTGAAGGATCATGTGACTGGAGTAATGATGCTAAAAATTCAGCTTTGAAATCACAGGAATAAATTACATTTTTAAATATTTCCAAATAGAAAACAGTTATTTTAAATAGTAAAAATATTTTATATCGTATCAACCGAAATTAAGAAATATATCGTGATACAAATGTTGGCCATATCGTCCAGCCCTATTAAAACGGGGTAAAAAAGATCGACTGAATTGAAATTTTTTCAATATAACTAAATATAAATGTGCGGAGGGTTAAGCTGTGCTGTTGTTGGCTGCTACAGTAGCGGCAAAAAGCTAAGGAATTTCCTTAAAGTACTTGTTTTGCGTACCAGAAAATCTGTCATGTCGGGCGCTGTATGCATGGCTTGCAGCGCTTAAAGGGGTCATATGATGCTGCTAAAAAGAACATTATTTTGTGTATTTGGTGTAATGAAATGTTTATGCGG